TTTATCTATTGAGTTAATACCCAAAATAGTCCTCGACTATAGTGGTTTTTTGCAATTTTGTCCTAAACGATTTTGGTGACTTAGTGTTGTCCCATAGTTTTGTGTTTTTACTCAATTTAATCCTAGACTTTTGTGTTTTTGCTCAATTTAGTCTCTCATTTGTTAATCCGTCCATTTGTTGTTAAATAAATAGGCAATTCAGTAATTTTAATATTGACATCTCTTTACTCATAGACATGTGAAGTGCAAAATCCATCTTTTTTAAACGAAGTACTCCCAAAATAACTCTTAATAAACCTACGAATATAAAATTTGATTCGTAGGCCTGGGAGTAATTCTGAGTGTAATTCGTACAAGAAAGAGAGATTTCTCACTTCGCATGTTGAAAGTAAAGAGAGGTCAATATTGATATTATTCAATTGTCTCTTTATTTAACACCAATTTGACGGAATAACAAACGGAGGACTAAATAGAGCGAAACACAAAAGTCTGGGACTATATTAGGTCACCAAAGTCGTTTAGGACGAAATTGAGAAAAAGCACTATAGTCGAGGACAATTTTGGGTATTAACTCTTTATCTATTGTTTCAATAAGTATTAACTTATCAAACGTCTACCACTATATCAAAAGTTATAAATAGTAGTGGATGTGTAATTTTTTTTTTTTTAATTTACGTAACAATTAATGTCATATTTTAATAGTAAAATACAAGAGTCAATTTATTTGAGAGAGTTTAAATTTATTAATTGATAAAAACAAAAACAGAAAACCAAAAAGGGAAGGCACGTACTGACAAAGGGGGCTAACTAAAAAATGTAGTTGACCTAGGGTTAGTCTCCAAGCGTGCAAAGGATTTTGATCATCATTTGGTAATCGTGTTATTCTTCCACCAAGGAAGAATCCCAACCCTAAGGGCTTCCACACTATCGTTGGTGAGACTCAATCCTGATCATTCTTCTAAAGTTTTACCTCTGTGACCAGCTTAACTGCCTATGCGGGTGGTAATAGTGTTATTGATGAAAATAGGTTCAGTGGATTTACAGTATAAGCAGGGAAGAACAGGCACGCCAATTAATAAATTATTATTATTATTTTAAAAATCAAAACCATAAATTCATTAAACCAAATGTTCAATACAACTTGGAATAGTAATAGACCAAACTAAAGGACCAGATTGAGAACGAGCTGTCTTAGCTAACACATGTGCAACTTTGTTCACCGATCTAGAAATAAACTGGATAGACACACGGATAAAGTGTCGTTGAAGTTGCCTACAATCCTCGAGAACACAACCTGTATACGTGAAGTCTAGCAATGGAGCATTTAGCAAGTGGCAAACATTTTGACAATCAGAAAAAATCAAAGCTTGCGTTATACCCTTCTCTTTAACCCATGATAGAGCCTCCTTTACCGCAAAAGCTTCTGCCAGATGAACATCATCCATACAACGAATAGGGCCGCTCTTAAAGTTTAGTAGAGCTTATTTTAAAGTTTATAATTTATTTTAAATGAAATTATAAGTTTTATTTGGTAAAATATAGAAAATTCAAAGTAATAGCTTATTTGGAAACGCTACTTGCATTTTAAAATAAATTCTTAAATTTTTTAATTTTTTTCTTTGTTTTTTAATTTTTATTAATTTACAAAAGCTACATCATCTACCCTTCATTAATCAAAATTCGAATATCTTGATTTATCATTTTATTTCTTTTTACACTTATCGGCTAATTAGTTAGCTTATTAGTTACTATTTATTCAGTTTTCAGCTACTAATTAAGAAAGGATTTTCACTTGAATCCAACCACATATGCGTGTGTGCGTGTGTGCGCACGCGCGTCCGTGAGCACGAACATGCAGTGAAATTTGAACAGTTGATCAAATCTAGATCAACGGCTCAAATCAATAAAAAATATTTTTTAAAAAACATGCATCCTGAGAGGAAGAAGCAAAGTGTAAAAATGGCGCACCTTAAGTATTACAAAGATGCAACTTAAGTGTTAGAATGACGCATTTAAGTCTTAACATCGCGCACCTCCAGTTTTTAAAATGGTGCACATTAAGTGTTACAAAGACGCACCTTAAGTAGTAAAATCACGCACCTTAAGTTTACAACTGACGTACTTTAAATTTATAACTGACGCACCTTAAATGTTAAAATGACGCACCTTAATTGTTAAATGGACGCACCTTAAGCTTTGAAAGGATGCATCTTAAGCTTTAGAATGACGACGCACCTTAAGTTACAATAAAAACGCACCTTAAGTTCTCAAATGTATAACTGATGCATGCACCTTAAGTATTAAAATGGCGCACTTTATTAAGTATTAACACAACATACCTTAAGTATAGAAAATACGCACTTTATGTTTGAAAAATACGCAAAATGACTAAAATTACCACCGCGATTCTTTTTTTCAATATGTGTTCATCCTGAATGTTGATTTTAGCAAGATCAAAGGATATCATATCACCGCATGTTTCACCTAGACATAGTCTCCACATCTGATCTCTCTCTCTCTCTCTCTCTCTCTCTCTCTCTCTCTCTCTATATATATATATATATATATATATATATATATATATATATATATATATATATATATAATGTGTGGTAATACTATAATGAGGATACATGACCACATAAGTTGCATGTGCGCGTCGCGCATGGCACTATTTAGTACCTTGGATCTGATCGAATGCCAATATGCCATGCTTCTTTAAATCGTACGTCATCTCATGGACAGAGACCATAGATGCAGTCGGCTCAATAGGTAACCGCCCAATTATTTATCAAACCTAGCTTCGTGGTATATAAATTTTCTAATTTTTAAGTTTTTCAAGATGATAAAAAATATATATAATTTATTTAAGATTTTTTTTCTCAATTTATTTTTTGTATTAACAGATACAATTTTAAATCTCGCCTGTTCTAACTTCTAATGAAGCAAACTTAGAAGTTCTTTGTTACTAGGTCTCCTCTTCAGCCAAGTTGATTGAAGTGTACTGTTGTTGGTGTATGTTAATACTTAATATTAACGCTGTAATGGATAGGAACATCCGGATAGGTCAAACGCGAAAAATTCCCATTATTTTGAGTATACAAACAAAGCAGTACTTCCTAGACTACAGACGGTTATTTGGTTAAATGATATAGTTTCACGTGTCTCTGTTCTAGACCTTTTTATACGAGTGTAATTAGTTATAATTAATGAGGTACTATGAATTTAATTCGGAGATTGATTTTTATCTTATATATATAGAGTATAAAGGAATAAGGTTCAAATTGGCCACTGAATGTAACCTGAAAATGTAATTAGGTCACTGAACGAAAAAAAGATGCAATTGGACCACTGAACACCCAAAAATATGCAATTAGGCCACTGACCACTCCAAATGTATGCAATTTCACCGGATAGCAGGTTACCATCAATTTTAGCAGGTTACCTACTTACGTGGCGGCTGAGTTGGCATTTTTAATAATTTTTAAATAATTTTTACTAACTTTTAATAATAATTTTTTAAAAAAAAATTGAAAAAAAATAAATAATTTTTTTTTTAAAAAAAAATTGTTTTAAATAATTTTTTTAAAAACTTTATTATTAAACTTTATTAAAAATTATTTGAAAATTATTAAAAATGCCAACTCAGCTGCCACGTAAGCCAGTAACCTGCTAAAATTGATAGTAACCTGTTATCAGGTAAAATTGCATACATTTGGAGTGTTCAGTGGCCTAATTGCACTTTTTTTCGTTCAGTGGCCTAATTGCATTTTCAGGTTACGTTCAATGACCAATTTGAACCTTATTCTGAGTATAAATTGTATATTTTTGTCCTGATTATTCAACACAAGTACCCCTCTCAATGGTATACATTAGGTAAATTCTGTTTTTGTGTAATAACTCAGAAATTACACCAAAAATGTGTATAATGGCTAGGTTCAATCAAGAGGCTGTTGACAAGAACTGAACTAGTAACCATTAGGTAAAAGAATTATACACCACCCACTCAACAACCCCTTTCAAAGCAATACAAAATATTTTGTATCTTTTTTTGAAGACGAAAGAAACTCGTAACCGCGATGATATGCATTATTTTGTATATTTAGTGCGGTGTTGTCACGTTATAGAGACAAGTCTCTTAGTGCATAAAGAATTTAAGCCATGAGCTATTGAGCTTCTTAGTGCATGCAGTAGTAATTATATTGGTTAACATATGAGTGGAATTTATGAATTGAGAATAATGAAATACTTCTGTCCTCTCAATCAATGTTGTTCAAGTATTGATTAACAAGTCGTACTCCGTACTATATTGTTTAAAAGGGACATTACATTATATTGATCATTGATGTGGGGGGAAATAGTTAAATACATATATACAAGTTTTTTTTTTTTTTTTTAAGTAATTAACGATTAAAACTCACAACCACTACTATCATTCTTGCTCAAAGTTGATCAGCTGAAATCAATAAGATTAATAGATCACTCCCATTTAGAGCTGAATTTGTAATATTGTTATTATCAAGTCAATAACTTGATTAACTTGGTTGGGTTGCTAGCTTGTACTTTGTTAAGAGAATAATAGGGGCCGGCCAGAGAATTGTGTTATATATAAATGGAGTAATTATCAAATATTAATTTAATTAGAATCATAGTAGCAACAAAAAGTAACGTGTAAAATAGATAAATAATAATAATAAGAAAAAAATAAATTCTTGGTGGTTCTGTTAAAGTATGTATTAGCTTGTTCATACACATATCGCTATCATCAGCAGAGGCATAAAGGAGATAGGATAGTTAACCTGGTGAATACGAAATCAAGCATGCCTCTTCATCTCAACTAAAACATCCTCTTTTGAATTGCCGACCATTTGACCCAGCCACCCTTTTGTTGTCTTCTACATATACCAAAGCTAAGCTAAAGGGCGGCCGCCGGCCGGCGAAGCTAGCTATCACGTGGACGATTATCTCTGCGCTCAAAACTGGTAGGGTACGGTAGGTGCATGGAAATTGATCCAATCAACGTCGAGAAATCGGAGCAACTGAGATGGAGCAGCTCAGACGAACAAAGCTTGGGCATGGGCCGCGTTAGGCTCTACCGCTGCACCTTTTGCCAGCGAGGTTTCTCTAATGCACAGGCGCTCGGAGGCCACATGAACATCCACAGGAAAGATAGAGCCAAGCTTCGGGAGTTTTCCGGCGACAACAACTTGCTTTCCCTCAGCGTCTCCGCTCACCCTCATGCTCACGATTCGCCGTCGCCGCAGCGCGTTGATTCCGGTGATGAACAGCCTGCAGGTAGTCCCCCGGAGCGGCCGCCGGAAGTGGGAGACGGTCATGTCCCCAACGGGAAAGCTAATGGAAGGGAAGATCTTTTGCTTTTACCCTTGTTCGTTGAGATCCCATCGCCGGCTAACAACGGAAAGGAGATTAGCAGTGTGGTTGGGGATGTTCCTAAGGCGGCCGTGCAGTTGAGCGACGACGGTTCACCGCCAGCGTCGCCGGAGTTGGACCTGGAGCTCCGATTAGGAGTGGAGCCTCAGCAACATGATTCGGTAGTGAACATCCCGCCGATCAACCAAGTTATTAGCCAACACTAGTTATACAAAGTAACAATAATTATGTTCAGAATTTTTACAACATACGACATTTATATATATACATGATAATACAGTAATACATAAACTTTTTCATTTATTATTTGTCATATTTTTTCTCACAAATTAATTTCATCAACCTCTCATTGATCTCTACTTTTAGATTTTAATGTTAATGATATTGTCAGACGATACAGTGCTACGTTCGTGTCGAGTCCAATTCAAGTTGTCATTTGGAGGCATGGATTTAATGTTGCAAAGATATTTTGTATGACCAAAAAAAATTTGCAATCACTACCAGATGATGTATAGTGGGGAATTAATGTTGCAAAGGTTTGATTCTAGAAAGAGGTACAGTATATGCACGTTTTCTTACATTACTCATAGATTTTGTCTTTTTCATTATTTGAATTTCATTCAAAAAATGTAACAACAATTCCTATACATATATGCATGCCTAATTATTTGAATATATTCCTGGAAAAATCAGACAAGTATATAGCAATAAGTGTAAACTAAGAATTTTAGGTAGAGAATATGACAATATATAGGACGCAAAAGTATGGGTTAGATTTCATTTTAATCACTTCATCAACAATGTTGTACTTAGACTACTATACATAAGCTTTAAAATGATGTCTTGGAATTAGGAAGACTGTACTTTTATAGGAGATGAAATTTGTTCTTGATCAGAAAATCAAATCACACTGAGGCACTGTTTGTATAAATGGAAAATTTATGAATTAATATTGTAGTTTATAATTTTTGGATTATGGTAGATTCATAATCAAAGCTAAGGGACCTAAACTTGGCTATGAATTATTAGTTAAAATAAACCACATTATGTTGTACAATTTATAATTCCCAGCATTAACATTAAAAGACACCATGGTTATTACATTATATAATATTCTCTTATAAGAAAATGAAGTTACGCTTTCTTTACTATCTATAACTTTTTGCATTAGGTTATAGCTTTTTTTTTTTTTACATAGTGCTAAACAAGATTTGAAAATTGACTTTTGAAGATGAGAGAGGCATAACTACTCTTTAGGATTTATACAAAATAAAAACATGTTTTCTTTTCCTAGAACGAGTAGTTTTGATAACTTTTGGAGGGAGTACGTATATAGGAAACATGAGAATTTCTATGGTTTGGGTGCAGTGGGAAAGTGGGACAAATTAGCAACATGAGAGGTTGAAAGATTATGCACAATTAGAAATTGAAAGTGGTTAATTATATAAGAGTTGCTAAGGAGGATTGTACCATCAAAATATTGTTACATAACTATAAAGAAATAATGTAGGATAATTCATGGTTACATTCAATATCAACTTAATGTTAACAATTGAATCTCAATTTGGTGTTGAGTTTAGATAAATACACAACTATCATGTTATTATTTTCCTTTAATTAGATTTTTATTACTTAGAATTGAATTGAGTGCTTTGAATGCTCCATTGACTTTGACAGATAATCAAAACATACATCCCTGCATAATGCTCCAGGTGAACTCCACCACTCCTTTGAGAATCACAATTTGTTATTACAAACAAGTCCCTCACTACACCCTCCATTAATGAATTAATTTATATATATAACACCATTATTGTCTATCAGTTATTTAATCAAGCTCAGTATTAGCAGGAGATCAATTCAAGATCTTCTCCTGCCCAAATACAAATACATATAAAAAAAAAAAAAAAAAAAAAAAAAGTGAAATGACATCTTACTCCATAACTTGACCCCTACCCAATCAAGAAAATCAAAACCCCAAAAAGGTTAAAATTGACATATACCCCACTCCCATGCGGCATTCGTTGAGATATATAGATGTTAATGCAAGTATGCAACCCTTATAAATTAAATAAACATAAATCCAAAGCAAAAAGATATTAATTGACAAAACGTACAAAAAAGGAAACTGTTTCCATTACATTTCAGTAAGCCATTAGACTCCTTCAAGATTACATCAAACAATAAACCCTAAAAATGTCTCATCACCTACACCAAGACTCCTTTCATGACCCTCTAAAACCATGGAAACACATTCCCTTTCAAACCCTCAGAATAACAGATGCTTTCACCAATTTCATGAAAGGTTTCCTAGGAATTTGCCTGGTGGGCTCGATATCTTTGTTCTCTTTCTTAGCCTTCTCGAAATGGTTTGGCTGTTCAGAGTACCAGAATATCTTCATAAGTACGAGCTCTGAGTTTAGTACTGGTTACGACGTTATAGTACACAGCGACGAAACGAACATATCCCATATTCTTTTCGGCATTGGCGGCTCCGCGAAGACGTGGAATTATCGCCGGCATTATTGTGAAGCCTGGTGGAAACCAAATGTGACGCGCGGATTTGTCTGGCTCGATGAACGGCCACAGGAAAATGAATCGTGGCCGGAAACTTCCCCGCGGTTCCAGGTTTCCCAGGACACGTCCAGGTATATATATCCCATGATTATGTGCTTTTATAGTACCGACATTATTAGAACTTACTTCAAAACAAATTAAAGCAGGTTTAAGTACACTTGCCCGTACGGTTCGAGGGCGGCGGTTCGGATTGCGCGAATCGTGAAAGAGAGCTTCGAGTTGGGGTTGGAGAACGTGAGGTGGTTGGTGATGGGGGACGATGACACAGTGTTTCTTCCTGAGAATTTGGTTGCGGTTTTGTCCAAGTATGATCATAAACAGATGTATTATATCGGTAGCAATTCGGAGAGCGTGGAGCAAGATGAGGTGCACTCGTACACGATGGCGTACGGCGGCGGCGGTTTTGCCATTAGCTACGCCCTTGCGGCGGAGCTCGTCAGGGTTTTAGACGGGTGCATTGATCGGTATGCCGCGTTTTACGGTTCCGATCAGAAAATCGGTGGCTGTATGAGTGAGATCGGCGTTCCCCTCACCAAAGAACTCGGCTTTCACCAGGTCAGATCAGAATTAATAACAAAATTTTAAATTAACACTAATATCTCTATTTTTTAAGTTTTTTTGAACATGTGCTCATCTCAATTAAAAGCAAACTGTACAGTTATATGCTTAGGACCTTATCTCAACTAAAAGTCTAAGCTGATAGTTGAATTGCACAGCTATATGCTAAATATAATTCTTTTCTTTTCTTGTGAAGATGGACATAAGACAAGATCCATACGGGGTGCTGGCGGCGCACCCGGTGGCGCCGCTGGTATCACTGCACCACCTGGACTACGTGCAGCCTCTGTTTCCCGGCACTAGTCAAGAGGAATCTGTCAAGAAATTAGTGGAGGCCTACAAGTTAGACCCCAGTCGGACATTACAGCACAGTTTCTGCTACGATCTTAGCAGAAATTGGTCCATTTCAGTTGCTTGGGGATACACAATCCAACTCTATCCGACATTGGTGAACGCCAAAGAACTGGCGACGCCATTCCGGACATTCTTAACGTGGAAGTCATGGAACGAAGGTCCCTTCACCTTTGACGTACGTAGTATGAGCTCAGACCCATGCGAAATGCCTTTGATATTTTACCTGAACCATGTTCATAGCTTGGGCAATGGTAGCACCGTGAGCACTTATACGAGGCCAAAAGTGGACGGAAACAAATGCCAGAACGAGACGTATGCACCTGCGTTGTTGGTTCACTCATTCAATGTCTCTGCGCAAATTTTAAGTTCGGAGATATGGAAAAAGGTAAGGCTAAGCTAACAACTAAAATCTTTAGGGACCAGAGAAATTTACAATCAATATTTGAAGTATGGACGAGTTCAAATAAAAAAGACATTTTTCTCTGTTTGGAATTAAATTTGTAACTTTATAGTTATCAAATTAATAGTCGATTTACTTGATTGGAATGAACCTAACAAGTCAAATGTTGTAATATGTAGTGAGTAGCACGTTTCGGGGCTAACAACGTTGGATTTACAGGTACCACGTCGGCAATGCTGCGAGGTGGTCAACGACGGCGATGGGGCGGATGGAATTTTGCATGTCAAACTAAGAAGATGCAATCAATGGGAATCAGTTACGCCTCCATAGCTGATAGGATAGGTATACCGAACGAATTTCAGTTACGTGGACCAATTGTATGTATACTAACTGAATTGTATTCAATTCTTTGTATATTTATTACTTGAACGAAAATATGTATCTTCTTTTTATATGGGTCCAAATTGGGCTTTAATATTTTTCTAGACCACTCAACTATCTATGAGCCCAAAGAAATTGTGATGGCAAATTATGTTCTGCAACCGTGTGCATCACACGGTTGCAAAAACGGCGATGTTTTACTTTTAAAAAATCATTTTTGATTGTCTTTAGTTACGTAAACATATGTTTATAGTTTTATAATTTCACATTCTGAATGTATAGTTATAAAGTTATGGATGTAGTTATGTAATTCTGAATGTATAGTTATGAAGTTATGGATGTGTAGTTATGTAATTCTGAATATATAGTTATGAAATTAATGGATGTGTAGTTATGCAATTCTGAATGTATAGTTATGAAGTTATGGATGTGTAGTTATGCAATTCTGAATGTATAATTATGAAGTTATGGATGTATAGTTCAAATTATGCACAACATAACGCCGTTAACGGGATTCGAAACTGATTTTTTTTTTTTTTAAGTTAGACATCAAAACGACATCGTTTTTGCATGGTGCGCACGGTTGGACAGCATAACGCTCCAAATTGTGATGTAGTGAATTGAATATAATAAAATCAAAATATGTTTATTCTTTAAAAAATACTCTTTTCTTTTAAAATCTAAAATAAACGTATCAAGTGAGTTCCATATTCAATGAATCCAAGTAATAAAATTATTGAAATGATTACTGCTCCAGAGTGCACGGGATTGATTTGTTTGATGAGGGAATTGAAGCTTATCCGATCCTAACAAAAACTGTTTATGCGCTGCTATGAATGATGAATTGATGGCGGTGGCGCAATTATTCTGCCGACAATAACACCAATACAATTCAAGATACCAAGAAACTGCCCAACCACAAGAAAGAAAGGGGAAAAAAAAAAAAAGGATTAATCTCCGGCACCGCTCATTCAAAATATAATTAAAAAAAAAAAAAAAAAAAAATCTCCGACACCACTCGAATAGTCGAATATGCTATTTAATAATAAAGCATGTATGTAATTGTGTAATATTATTAATTAATAAATTTTAATTAATACACTCTCTCTATGAATCTCTCTGGCTCACCGGGAAACCACACTCTGCCCGGCGCTACTACGGAGGAATCCGATCTCCTCCAACGAAGTACCAAGAAAACGAAGAGAGGAGTTACTGAGCGGGATAACGAGACGATGGAGATGGAAGCGGACATGGGACCTCAAACCAATGGGACGTCGATTGGTTTGGACGTTATGAAAGAGAAGAACAACCAAAGTGTTCCTAGTCCGGCGAACACACCAATATCATTCCGTCGAGCATTAACTGGACTGAATGACAATGTGGGGCGGACTGATGATGTCTCTGATGACGAAGCTGGCGAGCAAGAAGATGATGATCCGATGTGCCCAGTTGTGAAACTGACGAAAGAAGAAAAGAGAAGGATGAGGCGTAGATGGGAAAACACATTGATAATCAAAGTCCTAGGGAAGACGGTTGGATACAACTATTTACTACGAAGATTAAGAACCATATGGAATCCAAAATCAGGTATGGATCTCATTGCCATACAAAACGGGTACCATTTGGTTAGGTTTGCATCAGTCGCCGATTACGAACATGCAAGGCTGGAAGGACCATGGACTGTTCTTGATCACTGCTTAGCCGTCAAAGACTGGGAACCAGACTTTGATCCCATGCGTGATGAAACTCAGAGACTCCTCGTTTGGATTCGCTTCCCTTGCCTACCAATAGAATACTACGACTACGATTTCTTGATGAGGGTGGGAGATATGATAGGATCGGCTGTCAAGGTCGATCATGCAACAAGCATGGCGTCCCGTGGTTTGTTTGCTAGAGTGTGTGTTGAAATAGACATAACAAAACCCCTCATAGCCAGTTTCAAGTTGAAAAATAAGCGCAGGGCAATCGAGTATGAAGGTCTCCATCTGGTTTGTTTCAAATGTGGAATGGTGGGTCACCGGAAGGATGCATGCAAAGTGCCGGACGATCAATTGGACAAGGAAGTGACGGAAATAACTATCATGATGCCGGAGGCAGGCGGTGCAGTGGCGGAGAAGGCAGCCGGAAACATGACCGAGACAAGAGATGGGCCAGTATGGAAAGTCGGAGGAAACAATGAGAAAAATCAGGGCAATTTGAGACCGTTAGAAGAAAAATATGGAACGTGGATGATTGCGCAGAGGAAATCAAGGGTTTACCAAAATAGAGGTGATCCGAGACGATATAAAGGGAAAGCTAACGTGGAAAAAGGCGAGACATCTAACAGGAAAGATGGAGATAACCGCGGAGATAACGGTAAGGTTTTTAATGAAGAGGGTTTTAAAATCTGGAATAACTCAAGGTTTGGGGCCCTTGATGATCTAGGAGAGAATATGGAAAAGGTAGCCCAGGAAGAGGAGACCGAAGCCCATGAAGAGGAATTTAGTTTTGTGAGGCCTGATGGCCCAACAGGGGCACTTCTAGCTGGGAAAGGTAAAAGACCACAAGTCCAAATTACTGAAGCTCAAATCACTAATGATAAATCAGAGCCCAGCAAGAAGAACAACATGGGAAGTACGATGGCGAGCAGAAAGAACGAAGGGCCACAAGTTACTGCAAAGACTAATAGACGTTCGAACCAGGCAGCGGAAAATGAAGGACATACTGTGGTGAGAGGATACGACAATGGCAGTAGAGTGGAGAGAATCATGATATCCGAAGAAGGGGAATCCATGGATATTGTGCACACACAAGTCGAGGGAGGTGAACATCATCACGACCCCCCGAACTCGTCTCCAATGGCTCATGATGGTGAGCCGGGTGATCCAATGGTTGGCGTTTGTGTTGGTGATGGCCAGTCGCTGACTGGTGTGGGGGTTGCCCTCCTCTAGGGCCCCTCTCTTTGTTTTCGTTTTGTGCTTTTGGGTTGTCTAGGCTGTTTTTTTTTTTTCTATTTTCTATGAAGATTATGTCCTGGAATTGCCAGGGAGCTGCGTCCACTGGCTTTAGACGCGCTCTCTCCTCTTTTGTCAATAAATTCAAAGTTGATATGGTGGGCTTACTGGAGCCGAGGATCTCAGGTAACGCTGCTGACAAGGCTTGCAAAAGCTTTGGCTTTGTAAACTGGCTCAGAGTCGAAGCAGTTGGGTTCAGTGGCGGAATTTGGCTTTTGTGGAACAACAATCTGAAGGTGGAGATTATTGTAACTAACCCCCAGTTCATCCTTACCAGAATTGGTGAGGAGAACAGAAATATAGGGCTGGTGTCTTTCGTCTATGGTAGTCCGTCTCAAAGTTACAGGAACAAACTTTGGGAAGGGCTCTCCAACGACAGGTTCAGCATGAGGGAAAGCTGGCTCTCGGTGGGAGACTACAATGCTGTTACTTGCATGGAGGATGTGAGCAACACGGAGAATTTTGGCAACAACAGATGTGCAGGTATGCGTCAATGGATATTCAAAGAAGGATTAATTGACTTGGGTTTTTTTGGTGCTAGGTACACTTGGACGAGAGGAAAGGAGAAAGCCACTTTTACTGGAGCTCGCCTTGATCGAGCTTTGTGCAACCTGGAGTGGACTACGAATCATCCGGAGACCAAGGTGACTCACTTAACTCGGGTTTGTTCAGACCATTCTCCTCTTCTTATCGAGCTTGGATCAACCACAAGAACTAGCGGGAACCTGGCCTTTCAATTCCAAGCTGCTTGGATAAGGCATCCTATGTTTTTAAAAATGATAGAAGGCCACTGGAAGAGCAACATGAGTATTATTGAAAATATAACAGCCACTCAAAATAATTGTAAGGAGTGGAATAAATCAGTGTTTGGCAACATCGAAAATAGGAAAAGAAAGCTCATGGCACGAATTGATGGTATTCAACGGTGCATGGGAAGTCAATCAAGTAATGGGCTCATTAAACTTGAAAGAAAGCTTAGGAAAGAATTAGAGGAGGTCCTACATCAAGAAGAGTTGAAATGGTTTCAGAAATCTAAAGAAGACTGGATCCTTTCTGGCGATTTAAATACGAAATACTACCATGCTGCAACCATGGTCCGTCGGACCAGGAATAAAGTTTATGGTCTCAAGGATGATAACGACAATTGGGTAAGCGAAAAGGCTAAGTTAGAAGCCATGGTTCAAAATTATTTTAAAGGTCTGTACAGGAAAGAAAATGAGGAGTCCAACCATGATGATTTTACGGGTATGTTCCCACCTATTCAAGAGGAACAATGGCTACACATGAACAGACAGGTTACCAAAGATGAAGTGCGAGATGCCTTAATGGAGATGGCCTCGCTCAAGGCCCCGGGTCCAGATGGACTCCATGCAATGTTCTACCAAAAATCATGGAGCATTGTAGGGGATAGTTTATATCAACTAGTGAATGATTTTTTCAATATTGGCAGCCTCCCAAATGGTCTCAATGAGACCAATATCGTTCTTATCCCAAAAGTTCAAAGGCCGGAGAAGGTGAATCAATTAAGGCCCATAAGTCTCTGCAATGTGGCATATAAATTGGTCACAAAAATCATGGCGCAAAGACTTAAATTAATTATGCCAGAGGTGGTTAGCCCCAATCAAGGAAGTTTTGTATCCGAGAGACAGATAACGGATAATATTATTACCTATCAAGAGATCCTTCATACAATTCGTACCGAGAAGAACCAGCCAGGCTATATGGTTTTGAAGATTGATCTCGAAAAAGCTTACGACAGACTGGACTGGAGCTTTATTCGAAACACTCTTCAAGAAGTTGGCCTCAATGACGTTTGGGTTAGAAACATCATGCATTGTGTGGAATCCGCAGAGATGTCCATTCTATGGGAGGGGAACAAACTTGAACGTTTCAAACCGGAAAGAGGAGTCAGGCAAGGAGACTCCATTTCTCCTTACCTTTTCGTTCTTTGCATTGAGCGTTTAGGTCATATTATAACCGAGGCAGTCACTCAAGGTAGTTGGAAAGGAATCAAAGTGTCGAGGAATGGGCCGAGCATATCTCACCTCTTCTTCGCAGACGACATGGTTTTGTTTGCGGAAGCAAATGAGAGCCAAATTTGTACGATCATGAATTGCCTCGACAGATTCTGTAAGTCTTCTGGGCAAAAAGTTAATAAAATTAAATCAAACATTTTCTTTTCTAAAAATGTTTGCAGGGAAGATGTGCACAAAATAGCCACAATTGCGGGCATTCCGGCAACTGATGACTTAGGCAGATATCTAGGGGTCCCCTCCCTCCATGGGAGGATCACAAAAGAACACTGCAGAAGTATCTTGGATCGAGTTCAGAGTAAGTTAGAAGGGTGGAAGACCCGTTTCTTAAGCCTTGCAGGAAGACACGTTTTGACCCAATCGGTCCTTAATGCCATTCCCTCGTATGCAATGCAAACTATGTTTCTGCCGAAGGGGGTGTGTGATGCAATCGACAAGACCACGAGAAACTTCTTATGGGGAGGAGATGGCACCAAGAGAAAAACGAGCCTTGTGAACTGGGATACGGTTACTTTGCCAAAAGAAGAAGGCGGTCTTGGAATCAAATCAATGAGGAACATGAACCTTGCCTTACTCGCTAAGCTTGGATGGCGAATTCTCAAAGATGGAACTAGTACTTGGTCCCAGATCCTTTCATGCAAATACATGAAAGCAGAAAGGAGCATGGATAGAATGAAAAGGAAAAGGAATGACTCCAATATCTGGAAGGGCATTTGTGCAGCTGTGCCTATTCTTGAGAGAGGTATGATGAAAGTGGTAATGAACGGTAAAAATACTAGTTTCTGGGAGGATCGCTGGATCGGTGACGAATCTCTCCGGAGTTTTTTGATCGGTCCAATGCAAAGGGATGCTGGCAATATTAAGGTGGCGGAAATATGGGATGGAAGAGGTCGTTGGGACTGGGACGCTATCGACATAGGTCTCCACCCCGACAAAAGAGCCGAACTAGCTGCGAGAGTTATTATTAATGATGAGCAAAGAGTTGATAGTATGGGATGGAGCCCTAATGAGGATAAATCTTTCTCGACTAGATCAGCTTACAAACTAACTCGCCAAACTACAGGAAACCAAGAGAATGGAGAGTGGGAGGCAACCTGGAAGCTCCGAGTTCCTAATCGAATTCGTACCTTCATCTGGCTAGTCCAACATGGACGAATTATGTGTAACTCTGAGAGAAGAAAGAGGGGCTTCACAGCAGATGAACGTTGTGCCATTTGTGGTGCAGAAAAGGAGGATGTGGAACATACCATGAGAAGTTGCCCAGCAGCAGAGGAAGTGTGGAAGCTAATCAACAATGGAGATAATCAAGGTATGTCTCTAAACTCAGATTTTAACACCTGGCTTAAAACCAATGTGACAGGGAACCAGGGAGGACAACGAAGAAGGCAAAGATGTGCCAGATTTGCCATAACGGCATGGTGGATTTGGAAGTGGAGAAACGATAGAGTTTTTAATGGAGTGGAGAAGGACATCAATGAAAAGATTGCCTGGCTACACCGACAGTTCAAGGAAGTCGAGGATGTGTTAAGCAGGAACGCGGAGCAAGGAGGAAGACAAAGAGAAGACACCAGACGCAAACAACCTTGGAGACCCCCAAATGAAGGATGGATCAAAGTTAATACAGATGGATGTGCTCGAACGAAAGGACATTCAGCTTGCGGTGGAGTTCTAAGGAACAACGAAGGACAGTATATAGGAGGTTTTTCAAAGAAGATTGGTACCTGCAGTGCTTTGGAAGCAGAAGTTTGGGGAATTTATGTTGGAATACAAAAGGCATGGGAGTTGGGTTATAGGAAAGTGATGTTTGAGACAGATTGCTCCAAAGCTATAAATTTGATTAATGGAGCAGAGGACTACGATGGAACGGCAAAGAACCTGGTTCAGCTTTGTCGAGATGCCAAAACACGCAATTGGGAGATTTCTTTCACTTATGCTCCTAGGGAACAAAATAAAGTGGCGGACATGTTGGCCAACCAGGCTTACACACAAGGGGATGTTTTCAATTGGTTTGTTAGCCCACCAAGAGACATCCAAAGATTTCTACGTGAAGATGAGCTTGGCCTCTTTGGCGAGACTTTTATTGTGAGGGTTGCATAACGGCCCTTGGGTATACCCCTCCTTTTTCAGAAAAAAAAAATAATAATAAAGCATGTATAACTAGAAAGAAAAATTACAATCACACCACAAATAATGAAGCCAGTATCTAGAGGGCTATATCCTTATTATTTTTCTCACTTAGAATTAAAATTTTAAAGTATATATGTGGCAACAATCAAACTAAATACTATATACCAACGTTTAAAACAACACAATTTATTGTGTTTGTTAGCTATATGCACAATTTTCAATCACACATTACAATAAAGTTAATTATATAAATATTATTATAAAATAAGTTTTTGCATTAAATCCATTAATCAAATACAAATTTTAAAATGAACCAATATAATAATGTTGTAAAAGTATAAATTGTAGATTGAATTGTATCAATTATTGTAATATATATATAACGGTGTGCTCAGGTGAGAACAAACGTCCCGGAAAGAACTGAGAATCAATCACAGCCGTCCACGTGTCTATATTTAATAGATCATATTTAAAAGAAAAATTTAAAAAGATGCAGTATTATTTTCATAAATAAAATTTTAAAATTCCAAGAGTCTAAGTGCTTTTTCGTTAACATTTTGAGTCAATTTGATCATATTTTTCATCAAAAAATAATAATAATAATTAGTTAACTGAATTAGTCAGTATGTGATTTGGTAAATTGTAAACAGTATGGTTTCCTTAAAATGAAAATTCAGTTAATTCAATCTTGATTAATTCCATTCAAAATTAATGAAGCAAATATTCCTAAAGTTCATCGAACCAAAAAAGATACAAAATAAACGTGTTAGCTAAACAAATCCGGAAGATGTATAGCATCACGTTACTTATCAAGCACAACCATTTTTTGTTAATGTATAGTATTTTTTGTGTTATAATCCGTTGCTTTTTATGGGCAACTCTAGAATTATGTTTCTTGAAGCCACAAAAGTTGACTTATAAAAACCATTGTATACGGTATTTACACTTGTATTGTAAAAATCGCTTTCGTATTGCAAAACCAATGGAAGCCCCTTCAACCACTTTCACCCATGGAAAACTACATTTTTCTTGCCAACAATTTCCATCCAATATTAAAAGATTAATGAAAATTTTCGTCCACTTTTTTTATCGTACCAATGTTTTTCTTACAAAATTATGACAAAAATAGCAGTGAATAGAATTTGGTTGGTAATTTCTGATTCGTCCAACCTATATACAGTTGGCTAGAAATTTTTTGTTTTTTTTTTTTCCCTGAATTTTACAGGTGGAAATCACAAAATCTGATTTTTTTTTCCTATTATAAAAGAGGTTTTCGTAAGCAGTACTAACTATCCTGGTTGTTTAAAAAATGTTCTAGCAATATGGTGTTTATTTTTAAACGCAATTGAACTTCATCACACAAGACCAACTTATTTGCTAAAATTATGATTGACTTTTAACTTTAAAAACTCATAATTTTTATTCTATAATGTTCACATAAAAAGATATTATATATGTCAAAATATATTCATATTTGGCAATTCACATGTTATATCATTTGGGCACGGATCTTGTGTCCACCCGGGTTGGTCCGTGTTCACACTATAGTTGACACGCGTTTACCTCGAGTTACCAAGTTAAAAGATTATTGATTTATCTGCACAGATTTAACTCAATGGTTCAGTGATCAGTATTTGAGTAAAGAAAAGATTATTGACTTCTGCAGTTGTACTCCGTAAATATTAGCTTGGTTGTTTCATCATACTGTTCTGTCAATGTGATGAAAACCCAACATTTGGTGCTACGAATCTCTGTTACCAAATATCATATCATAATCCAATTTGAGCTATATTAAAGGGGCGCCACTGGGAAAACACATCCCACTCTATCACCATTTTCATCCTCCTTTGCTGCCTGCTTTTCTTTCTCTGCAGCCCCACGTGGTCCTTCTGATTTATATCCTCTGTACATTTTAAGTAGTCCTGTAGCCCCATGACTGAATCTTGAATTCCTTTTCAGATTTGAAAATCTGGGATGGTGAGTTTTGCAACGCTCGTCTGTTCTTTCATTTTGCTTTCAATCCCAGTTTCGTCTCAGCAAGATGGGTTTATCTACACCAGATTCAATGAGCGGAACGACAACATAAGCTTGACTGGAGTGGCAACGGTTACCGGGCGTGGGATTCTTCAGCTAACCAATCAAACCCGTAGATTAATGGGTCATGCTTATTACTCCTCTCCCTTTCAGTTCAAGAACTCCTCCAATGGCTCCGCTTTCTCCTTCTCCACCTGTTTCGCCTTTGCCATACTCCCTGAGTATCAAAAGCTAGGCGGCCATGGCTTCGCCTTCGCGATTTCGCAGTCCGTGGATTTTACCACGGCTCTTCCCAGCCAGTATCTCGGCATGCTCAACGCCACCGATGTCGGAAACTTCTCCAACCATCTCTTCGCTGTGGAGTTCGACACTGTCCAAGATTTCGAGTTCGGGGATATTAATGATAACCATGTCGGGATTGACCTCAACAGCTTGGTGTCCAATAAGTCCGCCGCCGCAGCCTTCTTCACTGATGATTCCCAGAAACAAGATCTGAATCTCAAGAATGGGAAGGTAATTCTTGCTTGGGTTGAATACGATTCGGCTTCAAACCTCCTAAATGTCACTCTCTCACCATCTTCTTCGAAACCCAAGCTTCCTCTTTTCTCCTATCGCTTGGATCTCTCTGCAATTTTAAAAGAAAGTATGTATGTTGGCTTCTCTGCTTCCACCGGTTTACTTTCCAGCTCTCACTACATCTTAGGTTGGAGCTTTAAAATGAACGGAGAAGCCAAAAGTATCGATCTTGATTCCCTTCCATTACTCCCTGGAATCAAGAAAACACATATGGGGTTTGTAGTGACGGTATCTGTCTTGGCGGTTGTTTTTGCATTACTTTCGATTTTCGTGGGAGTTTACGTGTACAAAAAGATCAAGAATGCTGATGCGATAGAGTCATGGGAGCTTGAGATTGGCCCGCATAGATATTCTTACCTAGAACTAAAGAAAGCCACCGGAAATTTCAAGGAAAGAGAGCTACTTGGGCAGGGTGGATTTGGTCAGGTTTACAAGGGAGTTCTGCCGAGTTCAAAAACCGAAGTGGCGGTGAAGCGAATTTCGAATGAATCTAAGCAGGGATTACGCGAATTCGTGTCGGAAATTTCGACAATCGGACGGCTTCGTCATAGGAATCTGGTTCAATTACTAGGATGGTGCAGAAAACGCGGCGATCTCTTGCTGGTTTATGATTTTATGCCTAATGGAAGCCTGGACAGGCTCTTGTTTGATCGGCCCAGAACGGTGTTGAGTTGGGAGCAGAGGCTAAATATAATCAAATGCGTCGCCTCGGGGCTATTATATTTACACGAAGAATATGAACAAGCTGTGATCCACCGCGACATTAAGGCTAGTAACGTTTTACTGGATAGCGAGATGAATGGAAGGCTAGGAGATTTCGGGCTAGCAAGGTTACAGGATCACGGCACGAACCCGGGCACGACCAAGGTGGTGGGCACATTGGGGTACATAGCACCGGAGTTGACAAAGACAGGAAAGGCCACAACAAAGTCAGACGTGTTCGCTTTCGGTGCGTTCTTGTTGGAGGTGGTGTGCGGGCGAAGGCCGATAGAGACAAAAGCTCGGATAGAGGAGATGGTTTTAGTGGATTGGGTTTGGGTGAAATTTAAGGAGGGGAATGTTCTTGACGTGGTGGATTGGCGAATGAGAGGCAATTTTGATGAGTCGCAGGTTGTAATGGTGTTGAGATTAGGACTTATGTGCTCTGGCAATGAGCCTACGGCTCGACCGACCATACGACAAGTGTTGAGTTACTTGGACGGAGAGTCCGAAATGCCTGAGGTTGTAATGGAGCCAGATAAGACTAGTGACGTAGGGTTACAAGAAATGGATGCCACTTTTGCTTCTCTATCTTCCCCTCAATCACTCCTCTCCACTGCAGAGCGTAGAAAATCAGATACATACCCTTCTTAAATTCGGATGCTAAGTATACCAGACTTTTCATCGGTAAGAGTTAAACTCCGCGAGCACAACCTATGTGAATCAGAATTTGTGATAGAGATGTCGGATTTTTTCTTTATCATTAAACATTGTAATATATTTTTCATCTTATATTAAATTTTGACTTTTGTTTCCAACCTTGAAAATGGAATTAGGAAGATGAAGATTGAAATGAATGTTTGAATATAGAATTGGAAGCAAAAGCAATCTTGAATCCTTAGACTTTTGAATACCAAGCCAGTTTGATCTAATTGGGTAAAAATAATCTTGAATATTTTGCCCCAAGACTTAATATAGTGGTTCATTGTCTAACTTGACGACTGAAGGCGACAGATGATGGAAAGTGTGGATTAAATATCTTGGGCGCATAAAAATTAGAGTATGACTGGTGAGCTAATTGTGAGACCTTTTTTTGCAGTAGTTCTAAGGGCGGGATAATGTGAGCTTAGGATTAATTCAGTGAATCTATAATCACATAAATAAATAAATAAATAAATAAACAAATAATAATAATAATAATAATAATAATAATAATAATAATAATAATAATAATAATAATAATAATAATAATAATAATAATAATAATAATAATAATAAGTTTTTTTCCCCAACTCGAGTCATTTACATTAGATCAGAACTCATCTAAATTGTTTGCCTTGTTCGAGTTATTTTCATATATACATTAATTTGCAGGATTTAAATTTAAACAAAACTATTTATAAAACATTTTGTCAAAAATGACTTTGAAGTTTGACATTCTGAACTTATAAATAATTAAGTTTTGACTTAAATCATTAAATTTTTATAATAAGTCAAGTTCATCAGGCCAAAAAAAAAAAATACATTACAACATTTATTTCATCAAACAACCCATGTTAGGCACCTGCAACATGTTTTACATCAAACAACCCACGTTAGCCAGCCACCTACTATTGCAGTCATTGTTAAAATTGATGGGCATGTGTCTTACACTCCCAAAT